CCTCCTCGCCCATGCACTCCCCCGAGCCGTGAGTGCCACCCCGCGGGGCCCGGAGGGAGCCCGCCTGCGAGCAGAGGGCCCAGGCGCCCGGGCCAGGCCTGGCCGTCCCCCCGTGGAGGATGGAGGGCGGGCGGGGGGCGCACAGGGGCAGCCTGCTGACCCCAGCCCCCAGCCCCAGCTGCTTCTCCCCGCCCCACACAGGGACTGCTGCCACGAGCTGCTGGGGCACGTGCCCATGCTGGCCGACCGGACCTTCGCTCAGTTCTCCCAGGTGCGTTCGAGACCTTGGACCCGGAGCCAGCGGGCAACCGAGGGGCTGGGGCCCCAGCCTGAGGCTGGCGGGGGCGGGGCAGGGGACGGGCAGGGGCTTTACGTGACAGTGAGGATGCTGCCGGCCGCTCCCTGGCTGCACGGTGCCCACTCAGGCCCGTGAGACGTTGGGGGGACAGCGTCATCCTGGCATAGAGGGGCAGGTGAGCTCTGAGCCATTCTGGGAAGATCACCTTATCAAGAGGAGGAGGAAGACTCCTTTCCCAAGACTCAGCAGGGTCACGAAGCGGAAGGGACGAGGGCAAGCCGGGGCGGATCCCCGTGGCCTGTGCTGCCATCTGCTGTCTCCCCGAGCAGCCGCGGAGCGCCGTCCTGGGCCCTCGGTCCCCCCAGGGGGCCCGGAGGCCCCCGAGGGGCTGCCCGCACCCCAGTGCCTTCGCCTCACACAGGTGCCGGTGGCGGTGGCCGGGCACCCCTCAGCCTTCTCCTCCCTCCGCAGGACATTGGCTTGGCGTCCTTGGGGGCCTCGGATGAGGAAATTGAGAAGCTGTCCACGGTGCGTCTCCTACAGGGCCTGGGGGCCGGCTCGGGCGGAGGGGCTGAGGGCTCCGCTTCTGTGCGGGGACTGCCACCCTCTCGCCGTGACAAGCCCCGGAGCCCGGCCCGCTCCGCCTGGGGGGGCGGTGCCCAGGGCCACTCTTGCTGACCCTGTGGCCGTCCCCAGCTGTACTGGTTCACGGTGGAGTTTGGGCTGTGCAGGCAGAACGGGGAGGTGAAGGCCTATGGAGCCGGGCTGCTGTCGTCCTACGGGGAGCTCCTGGTGAGCCCCGCACTCCCCGCAGCAGCCCCTGGGGCCGGGGCCAGTGCCGGGGAGGGTGGTCCCGGCCCCGCCCCACACGGAGCCCAGGCCTCTGGCAGACCCCAGGGGAGGGGGCCGCCTTGCTCCAGCTCCCGAGGGGTCCCCGGGGGGGCGGGGGGCCTGTGACCCTGCGGCCTCCCGCCAGCACTCACTGTCAGAGGAGCCCGAGGTCCGGCCGTTCGACCCGGACGCGGCGGCCGTGCAGCCCTACCAGGACCAGACGTACCAGCCCGTGTACTTCCTGTCGGACAGCTTCAGCGACGCCCGCGACAAGCTCAGGTGCCCCGACTGGGAGCCCGTGGGCGGGTCGGGCCTGCGAGCCTAGTTCGCAGAGGACAAAGCCGAGCACCTTAGTGACAATGCCTCTCCCACGGCGGCACCTCCGAAAAGTCTGGGGCGCAGGAGACCTCCGGGGCTGGCGATCAGATCAAAGCCAGGTCAAGGCCAGGCTTTTAGGGGGCAGAGTCTGACCTCTGTAAGAGTGCTGGGGTCCCCCCCAATTCCTGCTCTCTGAGCAGCTGGGGCCATGGGGCGAGGCGGAGGTGCGGGGCAGGGTGGCTGAGGGCTGGGGTGGGAGCGTGGGGGGCCTGGAGGGAGCGGGGAGTCCCCAGGGCTGGGGGCTGGGGGCAGTGGCCAGGGGCCTGGGGGGCTGTGGTGAGGGCAGAGCCTGACATGCCCGCCTCGTCCCTGGGAAGGGGCCTGATTTTCCCGCCAACCTCGTCGTCACAGGAGAAACGGGGGTCCGGCGGCTGTGTGCCCTGAGTGGAGAGGCCGGGGCTGGACCCCGCGTGTGCAGCTGAGGACAGGGGCTGACCGGGCCCCTCCAGGGCATGTGGTCTGGGAAAGCTTCCTGGAGGAGGAAGTGGGGCCTTGGGGAGGACCAGGGAGGGACCGGGCGTCCCGGAGGCCGAGACCCTGCCCCACGCTGCCCGCCCCCTTCCTGTCCTGAGGATCCGTGCTGGCCTGTCCCCAGGAGCTACGCCTCCCGCATCCAGCGCCCCTTCTCCGTGAAGTTTGACCCGTACACGCTGGCCATCGACGTGCTGGACAGTCCCCACGCCATCCGCCGCTCCCTGGAGCACGTGCAGGACGAGCTGTACACCCTCGCCCACGCGCTCAGTGCCATCGGCTAGTGGGCAGGCGTGACCCGTGGGCCCGGGCGGGCTGGCCTGGGGTCTGCCAGCCCTTCCCCAGCCTCTCCCGGCCCCCGCCCACATGAGGGCCCAGGTCGCAGCACCCCAAGAGACCGCCGGAGACCCTCCCTGCCAGAGGACACCTCGCTGACCCCTGCCGCTGCCCCCCAGCCTGCGCTTGTCCCACCATGCTGCCCGTGACCTCACAGCCCCAATAAAAGGAGGAAGCCCTGCCCGCCTGTCTCAGTCCGAGCACCGCGGTCCCGGCCTTGCTCAGAGGCCTCTCCTCGGCCACAGCCTCCCGCGAGGCCCTGCCGGGCAGCCCAGGCCAGATGGGGAACCCACCGAGCCTGGTCCCTGTCCACCGAGAGGGTCAGCCGGCCTGAGCCCCAGCTGCTCCACAGGGCTGAGGGATCCTACTGGGCTCCCATGGGGCGGTGGCATGGAGGCAGGGCCTGGCCAATGGGGAGCCGCACACGAGGCTGGGCGTAGGGGGCAGGGCCCCCCGGCTGTGCCGACTGCGGGGGAGGTGGTCTCCAAGGTCCACTAGGAGAAGGACAGGGTTCCAGGGGCCAGCCTGTGAGAGCAGTGAGGAGGCACAGCTGCTCCGGCCGCCGCACCCCACCCCACCCCACCACACCCCACTCACCGCACCCCGAGCAGGGCCTGGGAATGCTCCCAGAAATGAGTGTTAACAGTGGTTCCAGGGCGACCTCTCTCTGGGCCACAGTCTCCCCAGCAAGGCAAGTAGGGGGCTGGATTCCAGGCCTTGTAAGATGCCCCTGAGCTCACTCAAGGGGTGTGGGCATGGCCCTCGCTCAGAGCCCCCGCATCCGCCAGGCTGGCCCGCTTTCCCACAGGCCCCCGCCCAGGGAGGAGCAGCCCCGGGGCTCACTGGGAGGGGCCCGAGCCAGCTGGTGTTCCAGGCCCTGCTCACTCCCTCCAGCCACCCACAGGCCACACACCGCCAGGGCCCTGGCTGCGAACCCAGGATGTCGAACTCCTAGTCACCCGTCAGGGCCTCCCGGGCAAAGCCCCCGGGAGACTGTCCTTCCATCAGCTGTGCATCAGCCCTCCTGTGCCTGAGTCGCTTCAGCTGGGGATACTTTTGATGGTCGCGAGCCCCACAGAGACCCTGGGGCAGGGCAGACGGCCGGGGGGCTGGGGAGGAAAGGGGGCCCATCTCCTCTCTTGGCTCCGCCCTCCCACCTGGGTCCTCCACATCTAGCCGCCTGCCTTACACCCCCCTTTCAAAGAGAACCCCAGGTTTTCCCTGGTTGCAGAGGGACTATGGGCTGTGGGGCCCCATGGGGTCCTGGAAGGGAGGGCTCACCCCGTCCCCTGACTGAGAAGGGCCTGAGACCCTAGAGGTGGTGGGGCAGGGTGGGGGTCCTGGTCTCCCCCTCTGTGGCTGTCCTGGGGGGCTGGGGGCACCATGGGGACTTGGCCCATGTATATGACAGCTGAGGGGTCCGTGCGGTCTTGGGGCTGGGCCTGGAAGGGGTCGGCACAGGGAGGTGGGCTGGGGGCTGGGGGTACCTGGGTGGGACATGGCGGGGGCACAGGGCGGGGCTGCTGCCCCCAAACTGAAGCTGTGGAACGGGCCGGCCTGTGGGCCTCACGGCTACGGTCCCTAAGTCTGGCCTCCCCGCGGCGCCCCGGGGAGGGGTGGGAACGGGGCCGTGAGCAGAGAGGTGACGTCCCTCGCATGGCCCAGGCCCCACACGGGGCCTTGGGGGCACGGTGCCCCCGGTGCCCGGGACTAATGTGGAAAATGCAGTTTGCTCCCCGGGGGGTGGGACGTTTGCCACCAGCTGCGAGTGGGGCCACTCGGCCATCAGGCCCCTCGTTGGGACTCTAATGACCCTCGTGGCCCCAGAGATGCTGACGACCAGGGAGGCGTCCCGCACACCTGGCTCGGGGAAATGGCTCGGAAACTGCAGCCTCAGCCCCCCGCCATCTGCCATCTGCCGGGCGGGGCCCTGGGCGCGGGCTGCGGGCGCCGCCTATAAAGCCGGCAGGGCCCAGCGGCCCCCAGCCCTCTGGCCGGCCAGCATTCCCAGGCCACCAGCAAGCAGGTGGGTCCCGGGGACTCTGCCTGGCTCAGCCCGGCTCGAGGGCTGCCCTGCTGGGGTCCGGGGGCTCCTCTCCTAGAGCGTTCGGGGGTGAGCACTGAATCGGGGTCCCCTTGCTGGCTTCAACCCTGCCTGTCCGCAGGTCACCGCCGCCCGCCATGGCCCTGTGGACGCGCCTCCTGCCCCTGCTGGCCCTGCTGGGCCTCTGGGCGCCCACACCGGCCCCGGCCTTCGTCAGCCAGCACCTGTGCGGCTCCCACCTGGTGGAGGCGCTGTACCTGGTGTGCGGGGAGCGCGGCTTCTTCTACACGCCCAAGGCCCGCCGGGAGCTGGAGGGCCCGCAGGGTGAGCCGCCACCGCCTGCTGCGCCAGGGGCAGGCAGGGCCCAGCTCCCTGGTCAGCGCTGGCACCCGGGGCTGAGCCCCGACGGCGCCTGGAGGGTGGGCTTGTCCCCGCCACCTTCTCACCCCGCCTGTTCCTGTCCCATCCACACCGCGGC